GGCAAATATCCCCGCCGAATCCCATGGGGCGGGGTGCAGGGGAGGGGCAGGCCGGCTCTTTTACTGGAGGTGGCGATGGCCTCCCGCTCTACTCCCCTTGCTCAAGGATGGGGAGAGAGGCGGGCTGGTGGCGCAGCGCATGGCCCCAAACAGGGTCGTCTGTCCCCCCCCCCCGTCCAAATGTCCGCACAACAAATACGACATGTTTGGGGCTCGTTTCGGTGCTCATATCCGACGATCTTCCGTGCTGCTCGGGGGGGACGCGGGCCACGGCGTTTCCCGGGAAAGCCAGATCTCCCGGACTCGCGCTCTAAGGTTTCAGGCTGTTGTTCCTCCCCCTCCCGCGGTGCTGGGACAATGAGCACCCCGGAGAGATAAATACCTTTTCCAGCGACCACAGCCTGCCACCCATCCCGCCTTCAGGCTCGACCTACACGCACGCTCACACGCACACGCACACACACACACACACACACACACACACACCGACACATCCATCCCGGCATTTTCCCATCCCCCTGTTCCTCCCTCTCTCTCTCCCTCCCTCCCTCTCGCCCTGTCCCCCTCCTCCATCTCGCAAGAATGCTGCATTACCTGTATCGCAACCTCGGCGTCCTGTGGCGTGCATCGCGTCGGCCGAGCCTGCGCCTGCAGCAAACTTCGGTTCTGCGTCTGCGCGTCGGCTTCAGCGACTTGGATTACAACCTCCACATGAACAACGCCAAGTACCTGACGGCCTTCGAGCTGGGCCGACTGGACCTGGTCGTGCGCACCGGCATGGGCGCGGCCCTGTGGAAGGACAGTGCGTGAATTAGTCCCTCCTCCTTTCCCCTTATCCCTGCCCTCCGGCCTGGCCAAGCAAAGTTACTGACCCTTCTTCTTTCCTCCTCTGGATCCCCTCCGCCTCGGCCCCATGGCGCTCGGGCATCAACCTGCTCGGCTTCCTCCCACCCACCCGCCCTGGCAGACTATTACCCTATCCTGGCATCGTGCAAGATCCGCTACGTCTCGTCCCTGGCCTATGGGGAGGATTATCGCGTGCACTCCCGTGTGTCGGGCTGGTGCTCGCGCTGGATCTATGTCGAGCAGGCCATCTATTCATCGGCCCCCCGGTCCAAGAGCCCGGATGCCCCGAAGACCGGTGGCCGACTGGTGGCAACCTTCATCACCCGGGCAGCGCTCCTGCGCCGGCATCCCGTCAAGGACCAGTCCAAGATCGTGCCCCCTGTGGAGGTCTACCGCCGGGCATTGAGCATGCTGGCGGACACGGACCCCTCCGATCCGCTGTTGACCCAGGAAGTCCCGGCGGTGTTCCTCCCCCGGTATATCCAGGACTTCGACGAGTCGGAGACCGGCTTCTTCAATTCCATGAAGCAGCATGGCATCCTGCCGGAGGCCACGGACTTCAGCACCGAGTTCCCTCTCATCCCGAAGATGTTCTTCTGGGCCTTCGGCTCCACCCCCACCGAGGACAACGACCGGCAGTTCAATCGCGACTCCATCCCGTGGGAGCGCCAGCGCAGCGATGCCGACCGCCTGGAGTTCGATGATACTGGCCCAGTTCGCCCGGCGACCACCGACCCTGGCGCGGGGGACAGCACCAAGCAGGACTAGTTCGTGCCTCGCTATCTGGTGCGGTACTCTGGGACTCCGGGTGAAAGTCCGCCAGGAAACCGGGGCCAGCCTTACATCTCTCACAAAATGACATACACACATGCCCCCCCCCCCCCCCCCCC